ATGAAACCATGGACTTAAAGAAAAGACAGTCTTTGGTTAATAATCCGAGCTGTAGGGCCTGCTCTAGTCAATAATTCAGCCTTGTCGGTGCGTTCCGCCTGGCTTTACAGATAAAGTAGAGACATACTGTCATGAAGAGACATGGATTGCAGGTCAGGTGAACTTTTCTTTCTCTCTCCTCAAATGGCACAAGAGATATTGATTCTGGGCCCTCACTCTCAGTGAGCTTCACTGAACTGGAGCACCTTAAATAACTACAGAAGAAGAGGGGAGCAGCAGTCTCTGGTCCAGCACAATCTACAATGCTGTGTAAAAGTCTTGTGCCAACCCTCATTCCTTCATTTTTTGTGTTGCAAGGAACCAGACTTTCAAGTAAATTTTAAAAGAGTAATAATTGTCCTGCCTTTCTAGACGTCCTGGAAGTTTTTCTTTGGACACTGGCTATTTTTCATATATTTTCAGTCCAGTCCTTGTACCTGATATTTTCAGAGGAAAGGCCTTTTTTTGGTTTTGTTTATTTGTTTGTTAAGCTCCTTAACAGTGACCTATGAATCATTCAAGTGAAATCTAGGAAAAACAGCAAAAATAACTGTCTGAACATCAAGGTGATTTCTAAAGAGACATTGGCCAAAGTCTTGGTATATCCCGGCATGGCATGTTGCGTCGTTCCTTGGAAAAACTTGAAGAATTTAGAGAAGTTGGAAGCCTAAAAAAACTTCCTACAGCAGCTGAAAAGTATCAAAAAGTCTTGATCTTAAGAATTAGGGACGAAAATCCAGCAATGACTACGTAAAATACCTGAGAGATACATGTGGCTCTGCAGCAACTACTGTTTGCTGAAGACGCATCAAAAATGGTCCCAAAAGAAGAGTGACTATCAAGATAACACTCTAAAGGAAGGGAAATGGGCATAAAAGGCTAAGGTGTGCCAAACTGCAAAAGAACTGGACTAAAACAACACTGGCAACAGGTCTTATTGAGGGATCAGTCCAAATTTGAAATATGTGTTTTAAATCATCATTGTACAGAGGAGATCAGGAGAGCGATGCAAACATGAGTTCCTACGATCGTGGCTCAATAGTTGGTAGTTCGCCTTGTAATCGGAAGGTTGCCGGTTCGAGCCCCGGCTCGGACAGTCTCGGTCGTTGTGCCCGGTGGCGCCAGTGTCCGGCAGCCTCGCCTCTGTCAGTGCGCCCCAGGGTGGCTGTGGCTACAATGTAGCTTGCCATCACCAGTGTGTGAATGGGTGGATGACTGAATGTGTAAAGCGCTTTGGGGTCCTTAGGGACTAGAAAAGCGCTATACAAATACAGACCATTTACCATTTACAGCCATATTTAAAACACCGTGGTGGCTCTGTCATGGTTTGGGGCTCCATTTCAGCCAGTGGTGTTTGGGACCGTTATTGTACTTATGGACTCATCAACACAGAAAAGTACCATCCGGTTTTGGGCTGGAAAATATCTGATTGTTTCAACATGACAATGGTGAACTATTACCAAAATGCTGGCAATTAAGCCTGGAGAACTATTCCTAAAGACTACTTCAAGAAATTATAAGAAAATTTGCCTGAGAGAGTTCACGCTCTGAAGCTGCACATTTTTTTCTGTTTAAGACAATAGTTTCTCAGTGTTGCTTTTCCAGAGTAATCTAAATCAGACTCCTCGGCAGTTAGTGGACCTGTAAATAGTTTAAGAAAACATAACAACAGTTGGCAGGAAAATAGAGGTTCTGTGTAAAGTACAAGAGCAATTACTTGTCTGGACTCTAGTACACTGTATGTAACAAGAAGTGTATTTGAAAAGTAGTTAGACTGTGCCATGAATGTAACAATTTACTTTCCTATGCCACTGCTAGGGATTCTCAAAGATTCTATCATAGTTTTTAAAACCTGCTTTTTGTCAGAGTAATCACTTATTATATGCAGGTAAATACTGCATATAGTGTTTGTTTAAGTACGTTTGGATTAACCAATGAGTAACATCCAGCAGGTTCAACCAAACATAGCAAACTATTTTCTTGCACCATTCGACCCAAGATTGTTCGAGCTAGGACCCCAACGAGAGCAATTAAAACGCAGAACAGTGTGCTTTTGTTTGGAACCAGTCGCGCATTCGGTTTCACACCATTGGTTTTTCATCATGAGAGGATGTTTCTCTGAGGAAGGAAGCATGTGTACCGTGAAAAACCATTAGTTTTTGTTTATCTTGAAGCAGTATCATGTCTAACAGTTTTGAAAAATTACCCCAAATCACGCACAAATGCAAAGGAGCTTATTTTACGGTCTATTAGTGCACTGTTCAGTGCGCTTATTCCATTGCTTGTTGACTTTTGCTGAGAAAACTTTGGCTAAATGTATCAGGATCTTGGTACAATGAGTAGGAGTTTTTGTTTCCATCGTCATCTGAGGGCAGCTCATTCCCTCCATCTAATCTCTCTAGACATCCTCCATCAGTGCTACCTTCACCTGCTGTACTCAAAACACATGACCACCTTTTACAACACTCTCCGTGAAGAGCCAGGGCAAAAAGCTGTGAAAATGAAGACGTTTCTTCTAATTTCACACTCTGCGCTTGATCGTTAGGGTCTTATTATGCCCCATTTGCTTCCCTCCACTGGCTGTGATGAAAGCAGGGCAAAGAGGCCGTGACAGGACAAAAAGGGGCCCTTCATCAAAACACATTTTGTTTGGGGTCTTTTTTAGCCAGATTCAACCCTTCCCCCACATCTCTGCCAACACTTTCCTGGAGTTTCCCCTGTCTGCATCCCTCATTAGTAGCAACCCCCACCTGTCTCCACATTCATTTTATTAAACTGTGATTGCCCAATGCTCTGCTCACTACAAGCAAGCTGTCCGCTCTTATTTAATTGGCCCACAGCCTCCCTACTGCTCCTCAACAAGTGGGAAGGTCAATGGGTGCTCATGACCTGGGATGATGATGTCTGCCAATACTGGGCAAAAGACAGATTTTTTTTCCTTCCCTGTTAACCATACCCGTGAACTCAAACACATACATCCATGCCTTCCAACTAATTAGGTTTTAATCTGATCTCTAAAGGTACCGGAAGGAAAATGCTCATAATTATAGTGAGATAATCAATATAAGGATTAACGCTAGAAATTCATTTGTAAATAGATAGTCAAGAAGAGAAATATAAATATAAATTTCAATTGAAACACTTTTTTTCTTTTTTAATAGGGAGACTTCAGTTTTTTTCAGTGCTGCCTGGATGACTGGCCCATTTAAGCTTTTATTTAATTTTTTAATGCAGCTTTCTTTTTCTCTCTCTTTATTAGTATTATTTTTGGCTGCACATCAGACTTTTCTGTTTAGGTTGGCTTCTGTGATTGTTTGGGTCACGCCAAGCATTACACTAGCAATGATTAACTGGGACATGGGAATTAAGAACTAAAGCTGCTTTAATTAGTAAAAGTGTTTGATAGAATGCAAGTTTATAACAGGAGGGGTGACTTTTTTCTCCCAAACCGTCAAAATCTGTCAAAATCCTCACTAAGTGGGCACTAATTTGAGAAATTATATCAGCTGTGAAGTGAAGAGTGAAGGGGGAGGAAGAATGGTAGAAACCGTAGCGGGAGCAGCCAATGCAAAGTGGTTCATGGGGGTGAGAACTGGATTCTTTTCTTGGCTGAGATGCTGGGGTCAAGGTCATGGCCTGCATAGTGGTTAGAGTACATGGTGTTTAAAGCTGGTTTGATCCTTAGCCAAGGGGCAGGAAATCCACAGAGGCTGCATCTGGACTCTGTATAGCTGGAGCGAGAACTTAAATTGGTGTGCAGAATGTGGACTTTGAAGTGGAACAGCATGCTGAAAAAACCTGGAGTAAAATTTGCCCCCTGATTATTCTTTATATGATTACCTGTGTAATATGATTATGCCAGTTTAGTGTGACTTTGATTGTGGAAAATTCATGTCATGTTTTCTCAGTGCTTCACCATAGTGAAAGGCGCTTTCACTACATTTTCAATACCCCATAACAGCATGTGCTTTGAATGTGTCCTATTAAGTTACAATAAAAAAAAAAAAGTAGGACACGCTATCATATAAACCAGAGCTTCTCTGCTGTGTTCAAGTGACTAATGTCACATCTCCAATTTCTCTTTGAGCGGTATAGCATGTGAAATATTCCTTTACTGAGAAAATGGGAAGGAGCAGTCGAATATAAGAAGTCTAAGCCTGTGGAAAAAGATTTCCTTTTCTATAACCACCCAAAATGCATTTATTTTCCCCAAATGAGATTCTTTCTAAAAGTTTAACACGTACTCTTAAATGCTATATTTAACTCTTGACAGACTCTACCATGCAAAAAACTGCTGCCCGATGAGGCTTGAAACTCAATTCATACCCTGACCTAAAATATCCAGAAGTTACGCATTAGGAATAACTGAGCAACATTTTAGAAGCCCTGAAGAGTGAGCCTTTTTTCAGTAGAGGAAGTTGTTTCTATTACTATTGCTACTATTGTTTTGAAAACTGTTATTTTATTGACTGTATCGAATGAAATGAAGTTAAGTATGATTCAAAGTAAGCATGAAACATACTTTAATTTCTTAATAACTACCTTGAGAAGTTGGAGAAGGCTTTTCCTTTTCTCAAGGTAATACTTGTATTTGAACACGCTGGGAGGGCTGGTTCTCATTTGTTCTTTAAGCTAGTGGAATGCATCCTTGTAAAGTTATTAGAGATATTATGTTTCCTCTTACCACGAAGTCATTAGAATCAAAATATTGTTTTAAGCCGATTACTCCGAGTAATTGAAGTTATTAGAAGTGAATGAAAACATACCTGTTATTGCTGGAAACTAGGTAGCTCCGGGACTTGATGATAATTTCTGTTATTAGAAATGATCAGAAAACATTATTGAATATGGCTTACGAGTGTCTCTGTTGCAGGTTTTTTGCTTTATTTTGTTTTAATGTATTTAAATCAAAGTGTTTTTGAAAGCTGACACAAAATTTATTCCATGTCTTTGATCAACAGTGGGAAGAGGTGAGCGGTTATGATGAAAACATGAACACCATCCGGACGTACCAAGTCTGTAATGTTTTCGACACCAATCAGAACAACTGGGTACGGACAAAATACATCCGGCGTCGCGGTGCGCAGCGAATCCACGTGGAGATGAAGTTCTCTGTTAGGGACTGCAGTAGCATTCCTAATGTTCCAGGCTCCTGTAAAGAGACTTTTAACCTATATTACTATGAATCTGATTCTGATTCAGCCACCAGAACATCACCACCGTGGATGGAGAACCCCTGGATCAAGGTTGACACCATTGCAGCAGATGAGAGCTTCTCCCAGGTCGACCTTGGGGGCAGAGTGATGAAGATTAACACTGAGGTTCGAAGCTTTGGCCCAGTGTCACGGAATGGCTTTTACTTGGCCTTCCAAGATTATGGCGGCTGCATGTCTCTCATCGCTGTTCGTGTCTTCTACCGGAAGTGTCCTCGTATAATCACTAACGGGGCATTATTCCAGGAGACCCTATCTGGAGCAGAGAGCACCTCCCTTGTGGCAGCAAGAGGGGTTTGTATCCCAAATGCAGAGGAGGTGGATGTGCCTATTAAGCTGTACTGCAACGGCGATGGAGAGTGGATGGTACCTATCGGGCGCTGTATGTGCAAAGCTGGGAATGAGCCTGTGGAAAATGGGACTGTTTGTCGAGGTATGTTTTGCTCTCTGTTTTCTCCTAAGACTAGTTAATCAGTCTTCTCTGACATAACAGTGTACTCCATCAACTAAAGGATATAGTCCTTGCAATTTTTATCTCTTGTAGTGCACTAAGCTGTTCCGAGATCTATTTATTACAATGTAATTGACACTATAAAATGATATTAGGTAATATATCAAGAATATGATGGGAGGTACATATTCTATGCATAGCTTATTCAACATTGGGGCATTTCCATACAAAACGTGATCCTATCCTTTTTCCAGCAGAAATAATAGTTGCTGGTGTTGGATCTTAAACTACACAGCTACTGCTGGAAGTCATGACTACAGAACATGTTGAGTTTTTCTGAGCTGCCGTAAAGGGATGTGAATCGCAGCACCAAACAACACAGGTGTTTGGTTTAAAATCATAACTGCTTTTCAAAGAAGCAGTTGTTTATTAACTTTCCTGCTCTGGAAATTGCAGAACATTTAGAGTAGACCTTAAACGAATCCTTAAATTATACACAATCAGTATGTGATTTTGTTTTGTTTTATCTCCTGTATGAATACATTCTTTATTCCATATGTATATTTTTTTTTTATTAATATTAGTGCTTTTAAGCATTTGAGCTTCTTCCCAGAGAAAAACACATCTCTGTGCATATTGTTCACAGTGATCAAGTTCAACAGATATTTAAAGAAGACTACACACACACACACACACACACACACACACACACACACACACACACACACACACTCAAATGCTAGCAACAATTTTGAATCTATAAAATTCTTCTGCTTGTAGTATGCCTCCTCTCAACCAGTGGGACAAAGAGGACATTTTTCAAAATTGCACACATTTTCCTGTCAATTGGAATCCCTCTTAGGCAAATCGATTTGGCTTTTCAAAACATCAATGCACCCAACATTTACCTGTGCCATGCCCTATCCACACTCTGCCAGGTGGCATTTGGTCAGCGTGCTTAGAGATGCTGATCACTTGAAGGAGCACAGCAGCGTGTAACCTGCGGACTGCAGCAGTGCTGATCCAGCTCAGCACAACAAACCACCCACCTGCATTTCAGATCGGTGTGTTGCTGCCTCTCTTATTTGCACCTGTAATTACAGCGCATCCCCTAGCGCCTGTGTGCTGGGAGGGTAAAACCTGATGGGTGCTGCCTCCCCAAACACTGTCAGGCCTGTTCAAGGACTACTAATGGGGACAGGCAGCGGCTCCTCCTTAAGGAATATGGGCCAATAAGAGGCATGTGAAGATGGTGCAGCAAGCTACTCTGATCCACATCCATGCATAATTACACTAATCTGCTTGTTTTCTGACCTACATGTAATTCACTGCATGTGGTGGATTGGAACATCTCAGGGGTGTCCTCAGTCATGGTGTATTTTGAGCTAAATGGGATTATACAATTAAATGTTGTCCACTCAGGGAAAGTATGTTGATCCACTTCATATCCTCACTGCGTTTTGCCTGCTCTGTCTGATTGCCTCCATATTTATTTCTCAGTTTCTGTTCACTGGCTTTGTTGGTCAAGATCAACTAGGATAAAACCTTTTTAATGGCCAATTTTCCCTTTTCGTCTTCAGCACCACTTAGGCAGTGAAAGTAGATTTGGGTACTGGCAGTTATTCTGGCAAGCATATATACACTACATGAGCGCAGAATTTCACCATTTTCTTTTTCCCTCCGTTTCCCTTGATCCTGTGATGCATTGACTCATTATTAAAGCTTTATGTGAGGGATGGATTATCTGTGAGTGCAGCTGTGGAATGCAGCACAATGATACAGAGATGGATTTTATGGCTCTATACAATAATTATGAGCTTCAGCACAAACAATTGGGAAGTGTGTCCTTTACCAAGAAAGGACATAAAACCATTACGACTAAAAAAAGATGTTGTGTTGTAGTTCCCCGATTGGTTAGAAGCCTTTTTGGATGGAAGACTGCCTTCAATGCATGTGCTCTCTAGTCATCTTCCTGAACACTGCAAACTGATATCACTACATTAAACTGTGGTCTGCCGCCGCCTTTCAGCTGCCAGAAGTTGGATAATGAATTGATCTATGAAAGATGCACATATGCCAGCCGATATTATGGGGTAATGAATTGATTTGTGAGAGGTGCCCTCAGAGGGTTCGTAAGGTATCCTCTTACATGAGGGGATTATGGAGCTGTAGAGACAGCATAAAGGAGGCAAGATGAAAGACACTATTTGTCCTCTAATAGTAATAATGCAACCAGTGCTTTGTACCAACATCTCCTCAACTAAACGTGTAATTACGCATGTAACAATTAAACCCTTGGCAGGGATCCCGGCAAATAATTATGCTGTCATGAAATCTGTCAAAATATTGACAGCAGAATGGGGTGCTTACATCGAATTGCTGAGGCCTTTTTTCCCCTCTGCAATTGTCTTATAAGTGAGATTAAGTTTCTTCTCTAAGAAGTGCCATGAGTGAAGAAACCATACCAGACCCTTTCAGTAGAGCTGGCCCTGACGAGAAAGATCTGATTTCCCCTCAGAGCCTTGAGGAGATGGTGCACCACAGAGACACATGAGGTCCTGTTTGCCCTTGCTGTTCGCTCTAGAATGAAAAGCATTCTCTTCAGTGGGGCACAATGAGAGCCATGTTCATGGGTGGAATTGCAATCTCCTTTAACAATGCCCATGTGTGTTTTCCTGAGTGTAATCTGATCATCTAACCCCATGCTATTGTGAGTTCAAGGGTCTCAACTGTGGGAGTGTGGCTCATGTTATTGAGGAGTGAAGATTCAGATGGAGACAATCTGTCACAGTGATAACAACAACTTGATTTATGTCTGGCAATGATTTTGATAGTCACTGTATCTAAGGAGAAAGAAAAGTATTGTAAAAGAAGTAGCAGTTTGTATACCCTTGTGGCCCAGATTTGTTGGAGTAGTAATATTCTGTAACTCCGATATCTACCAGATTTATTGGCAACTACTCCAGTATTTAGACATACTGTTTATTAGAGAACTTCTCCCAACTAATAGTAGAACTACGTGTTTTAGGTCACATTGAAAAGAATTGGAAAACAACACAAGTCTGTCTCCTGGTGAGGTCTGCATCATCGGTAGTAGGTGCTTGGAAGCAATGTTCCTGGAGTTACACCAGAGCAATTAGATTAAGGAGGAAAGGCTTCAGTAATTCTTCAGCCAAATGTGGCTATAGATAAAGAGAGTTAGGGGGGTCGAGTGCAAAGGTAGGTGCTGGGCGGACATGATTGGATAGACATGATTGCATGGAAAAGTGGTGGGGAGGAGGCGAAACCAGGAAATGAGTCCCCCTAACCCACTGTCAGAATCCCAATTATTGCAGCCTCTTCGTCTGGAGAGGCTTTAAGGATGGAAATCAGCGCAGCACAGACAAATCCACGCCGCTGCCTTTATTTCCCTCGGTGCCTCTGCCTTTAATGGCAGCTCTAATTGACTAACAGTGCACGTGGGGAACAGCCATGCTGATGACTGGATGGCTGTCCTCTGTGTGGAACAAGACACAAAGCAAAACAAAACAAACACACCCCCTCAAGGCTTCTGCTGCATTGTGCTTTGTGCAAACAAAGATGAGGGAAGGTTTGCATTGGGCTGCAGTAACGGAGGAAAGCGAGTGAGGGAGAGAGAGAGTGGGAGAAAATAAGGGAAAGAAAGAGAGACCAAAATGTCAACAGCCTGCCTACACAATAGGCATTCACACAATATTATGTTAAAGTAAAAGCCTCTCGTATTCTTGTGGATTGATGGCTACTTCGGCTGCTGTTAGCTGTTTAGTTAAACATAAGGAATACAAATTAGTGCCTCAGCAGATGTTCATTACTGCAACATTTGCCTGTTAAATGGCATTACAGACAACATGACTTAATATCTGCATCATAAGCAGCATCCCTTAATTTCCATTACTGGTTTCTCCCCCCCCCCCTTTCTTTTAAACACGGATCCAATAAAGGATTGTGATGTGTGTTTGATAGAGGCGGCCTCTTTGGTCTATACACATTGTAGGATGTTGTAACAGCAGGAGGTGAATAGACGAGCTCTAAGACATGTCATTTTGTTCCCAGAGGGCCCCAGGGAACATTCAGGAGCCTTTATTCCTTCTTCCCCACTGTGATGGGATTTCAGTATGGCCAGGTGCTTTTTTTTCTGTCTGCTGGTCTTCTATTTCTCTGTCTGTTCTCCACCCTGCACACATCCATATAGCAGCAAAAAGGGTGAAAAACAAGAAGAATTAAGGGAGCTTCAGATAATGGAAAGAAAGAGTCTAATAAGACAAAACTGTCAAAATGCAGCCGTGTTGTTAGTACACAAATGAAATAACAGTAAGCAGTCATTTGTATACCCATACACATGCACTTTATTATCCTCATTTTCACAGCACATTTATCATATGTGGATGTGATAACGTGACCCGCGATCCCTGCGAATCTCTCAGAATTCAAAGATCATGGCCTGTTAAGCCTGCAAACGTTTTCCACATGGTTTTGCACATGCCGGGCTCTGCTCCATATGCCCCTCCGTCACACTCCTCATTATCCCACACCATCTTTTGAATCTCAAATTCAGACAGTATGACCTCTTATAATCCCAGCACCTCTTTTCACATTATTGGCCTTCTCCTTGACTGTAAGGGCTTCCTGTTGGTCTGCTTCTTGCTTGTAACACCTATACCTGTCTCACTCTGAGCCCCAAGGTACTATAGGTAGTTTTCTGGGATTTCTCCATGAATGCAAGGCAGAGTGACAAGTCTGAGACCTTATGGATTTATTTGTGATTAATTTGCCTTGGACAGGCAATTCTGGAAATGAGAGCCGTGCAGTGCACAGATCCATCCATATGGGACTCTTTCTCATCAGAGACGAGGCCGGGGCTTTGTCAAAACATCCCCATGTGTTGTCTCTCAGATGTCCTCGACCCGTGTCCTGTTAGAGGAATCCTCGCTCTCTCAGCTAAGGGAGACTGATGGCTAAAGCAT